TTTTAAATTCATCTCCAAGGGGAAATACTTCAACTGAAATTAATTTGAATAACACTACGCATAGAACCAAATAGTGGTGCAATTGTGCAGTAAAATTGCCATTTTTTTATTATCTATTGGAGGCATTTAAACCGTGTTAACTGATGCTGAATACAGGTACTTATAACTAAGAAAACACATAACATATAAATGTGTCAGTTCTGTCAGTGTAGATTGACTCCTTGGAGCTAGTACTTAAATGTCATTGTTTCCCTAATCTCATAAATTCTTGCGGCTGTATCTTCTTTAAAATGTTAAACATTGTAATTGGTCTCAATGAGTGAGTCCCAGTTGAGGGAAAATATAGACAACACAACAACAGATAGTCTATTATCTCTTTGACTAAAAAGTGATTAGGCCAGGGACACACCCCTCAGGCCCAGTCAACAAGACCAAGCCGTTTTTATGGACTGTGGATGTCTATGAGCATGTGGAACCCTATGGGAAATGTCCTGTTCCACCAGTTCCCTCTGGGACACCAGGTTTCCTTGGATACTGCCCTGGCAGACTCTAGGCAAATCTGGGCGCACATGGTCCCTTTTGAGAGTGCTAACAAGAGGCAGACAGGGGCTATGACCCAGGCTGACCCTCTTTAAGCCAACAAGAGGGAACTGGGGCCCTCCTCTGGCCTTGTGCATCCGTGAGCCTCCTCGCTCACTCATGGCCATCTGCCTCCATTTAGCACTACACCCGAACTGAAAGGACCCCCTGTGGCAGCCTGCTTAGGCCTGACTAACACCCACAAAAAGCTGCACTTAAGCCTGACAGAAGCCCATGACGAGCCCCAATCGGACATCCTTTAGACAGGCCTTGGAAGTCCAGCTTGTGCAGAATAGGTTAGACAGCGCCACCAATTAGCACACTTGAGTTAAAGATGTGGTTGGGGGCACTAAGGGGGTGTAGGGCGGGGGTCTTGAATGAAACGGCGGAGGCTCACAAACAGAGTGTCTGTGCTGTCTCTGGGGAACTGCTAAATTACCATCAACACAGTGAGGGAGTTTATCAGAAGCTCTCAGGGAAGAGAGAGAGGCCTCTTTAGGCTAATTAAAATATTAGCCACTTCAGCAGGAAACACACACACCATTCAAGAAAGGGATCCATTTCTGTCACAAATAATGTGTCTGCCCAAAATAATGGTTGGCTGTATCTTAGCAGATAATTTACAATTGTAAGTCATCAATAACTCATAATTTTTACTTTTACATTGCTTGTTTTTGTCTAAAATAATGGACACACATATGCATGTTAGTCAACACTTATCAGCAGCCTGAGGGTTGACATGTTTCTGTGGCTTTACTAATGGATGTAGGATATAAATCTGCCATTTACTCAGCCAGTTAACACTGCCCTACGGGTGCTTTTATTTTGTCTCCGGAGACACCACTTGGGGCTTTTGTGTATTTGAAAAGTGAACTAAAGGCACAAAGCAGGCATTCTAATGTCAAGATACAAAGTGAATATTTGGTGCATCTCTCAAGTGTCTAGCATCAATGCATTTTTTAAGATTATGGACAAGCGGGGGTCTAAACGGGCCATTGGTATTCCCCTGCACTCTTCACATACTGAGCTAAACACTGGATTAATTGCGGTGTATGGAAAGAAAAGAAAAGCATAACCCCTGGACTTAGAGCAAGTGGATTGGCATCGATCGGCAGGGCTGCGGCTAAGCATCAGTCTCCAATTATCTGTGATTCTCCTCAGTACAGAGGGCCTATGTGTGCCATCTGCCTTCCCTCAACCCCGTCACTGCAAAACAAAAGTGGGGCTCACCTTTGCATTCACTCTCACACAACCACCGTCCCACTCAACAACCAGGAACATGCATCTTACCCTCTGAGCTTCTCTAGTCATTTATATTTCTAACATTTTCCAACAAAAGACACACATTGATACAAAACTAAAAATGGAGAAATTTGAATTTTCATCTGGATACTATTCCCCAGTTTGGGTTTTTGGCAAAGTGGACCAGTGGAGTGTCCTTCAGCTGAATGGTCAGTGAGGCCAGGCCAAAGCAAGGTCCAGACCAGCAGACTGGACGGGCAGATGGCTAGAACCATTAGCCCCGATTAGAACCAGGAACCCTTCACATATCTTCAGCCCTCCACCATACGCACACTGATTGGGTGCATGAAGACTAGCACATACAGGGTGAATAAGAAAACGACGCACAGCTGTAAGGAAAAAGATTTGGAATCATGACGTGACAAGTTTGAACTATTTTAATGTAACTTAATTAGTGATCAAGTTGAATATTAGTCTGATTTCAAGTTTGTTTGTTTTTTTTTTATTAAAGAAACCATAACCTTTATCCTCAAAGTAATAAGTAAAGCAGTGTTATGATAGATTCATATTTCTACAAACAAAAAACAGTTTAATATGTAGAAAGGAAAATGTATATAAAAAAAATTGTAAAGATTGTAAGAATTTTTAAAAGAGGAATCATTCATAAAACTATGTACAACTGTGGATTTTAATAGTCAAAATTAAACAAGTTATTTTATAATTATAGTGTTTTATGTCAAAGGTAAAAAGAAACCATTTGTTTTTACACAAAAAGCCCAAACAGTTAAAAACATCTGGCTTAGTAAAAAGACTATCACATTAAATCCAAGCATGAATAAGAACACTGTAAACTCGACTGTGTTTTTTGAAAATTACCTGCTAAGCAGAAAAATTGGCAAATACATGTAAAATTTGATCAAATTTGCTTTCAAACGTACTGAAAAATAGAGCACATTTATTTTATTCCGCCTGTTTAGACATAAACAAGAACAGCATTTTCTACATTTGCTCTCCGGCTTGATTTATTGCCATTCTACTTTACAGCAATCAATTTAGGAGTTTCTGTGGCATCCCCCTCCATTCCCCGTCCAGCCAGCTTGGAAAAAGCAGTGCTGCACCCTGCTGATAAAAAAAGGAACTGCAGGTGAGCAGGTGAACACTGCTAACTTGATGCTGGTGTGGTGGAATATGTATCTTTGCAGAGAGAAGTGTCATAAAATCCCTACAGATAAATAGACATTGTTTGTATTTCTCCAAATTGCATACAAAGTGTTTTTTTCTTTCCTGTGTAAAAAGGGGAGGGGTCTTGAGTAGCTAAAGGTCACCTCACACATCACGTCTAATGTCGAGTGACCTACACAATAAGCTCTCAGTAGGTGTATCCGATTGGTTGAGGAGATCGATTCAGAGTGTTCTTCAGGTGTTGCACTATAAATTTACTCTAAATGGCATTAACAGAACATGGTAATGCTGCCATCTCACAAATGAATAACATAAACAGGTAGCCCAGAGTTAAATTTGGATCGATCAATTGATGTTTAGAATCGAGTGTCTAGAACCAAATAAGTAGAACAATGAACAAAATTTAGCTGAAAAAACAATGGCGTGTACCATGAAACACCATGGTGAATAATGCAATTTAGTCCTTTATTTGAGAATAAAGGGAATATACAGTATATTATGTTATTATGTTTGTTTATTTATTAAAATATGAAACATAATTCAATGTGGTAAACTACTGAAATGTCAGTATTAATTTAATTATGTTTAGTATTATTATCATTTTTATTATTATGCATTTTCTGTTTATCACCATTATTTTTTGGATTTGAATAATTGTAAATTATTGATCCAAAATCCAGTATTGCCTAAACTGTGCACGCATTAATATTCAAAGTTTAAAAAAATAATAATAAAATAGCTGCCTTTTGGTAAAAATAAAAGAGAAATAAAAACAAACTAATTTAGGTCAAAATTTTTAAACAAATTAATTAATCAGTATAATCTTTGGTTCCTGCTGGAGAGAGCCAAGGACATAGAGAGACACAGGACCGACTTGATCACATGACCAAACACAAAGCAGCGTTAGCGATCCAACTTTCTCCTCAGCCATCACAGAACCAACAGTGAGATTGATAGCATGGTGCCATTTGAACTATTGGTTATTCTGAATGGGCTTTGGGCTTATTGGACACAGGCCTATCCCACTGGTCCATATTGATTTCTACTCACTCTCTCAGACCTTGGTGCCCTTCTGCTTGTGGCTTTCTTACCTCTGCACTGTCCTATATTTATGCTGTGTCTCCTGCATTTTCCCTTTATTCACTCAATGACAGTGCCACTTTGAGGAAAGGTCTGTCAAGAAATTATTGCAAAAACCAATGGGATGTCAACAGTAAAAGGGTGATAAGAGACAAGCATTGGGAGCGTACGGGATGGAGTGAAAGACAAAAAGGAAGTGAAAGAACAGATGGGGGCCTATAGGCACAAACTGGGAGGGAGAGAGAGCAGGAAATGCGCGCAGACACGCACGCACACACACATATACACATACACATAGAGGGAGCTGTAATTATCTATCAGGTGTTCGAGTGTGCGTGACAGAGGAGGAAGCTCATTAGCACACTCTGTGTACACCAATTACACAGGCAGCCTTCTCAGGGCAATCCCCCGGCATGTCGGCAGTCAGGAACCAAACCCACGTTTCACTGTCTCCAAGTCCTATACAGCCACACCAAGGAACTAAACAGTACCCAAAACATTATTACATGATAGGAAGATCTAATACCATCTTCTCATTCAGTTTAATGTTAGCTAAATATTGAGAATATCAGTATACAGGTAGTAAGCTAGTTGGTGATCACACACTATATTGAAGTTTGATGTCACCCATATGTCTCTATGGAGACAAGCAGGTGGTGGACCATGCAACAGTTAAGTTACATCAAGCCCTTTCCCCATTCAAAGGAGATAGTATTTAGATTTTTTTTATTACTAATTGTAACAGTCCCAATTATGTACCACCGTAAAACACGGGCATAATGTAAAGCTAAAGCAAATGTAATCATTCAACTCATAGTAACAGCTGGATCTGTTGCATGAATAATGGTAATTTGTTTATTAATTATATTATTAGTTAACTGACTGATCAAATGCTCATCACCAGTTCCGTAAATTACCTGTGCATATCATTCTGACTGGAAGAGACCACTCCGACATTGGCCACAGACAGGATCTCCTTGGCCAGACTTGCGGTGTTTGCTGTTGACATGGTAATTGTAGCTGAGGTCTCGTTCATTCCCTGAAGTTTACCTGTATAAAATATCAAATGTTGAAAACACAGAAAAATGTTTTATGTAATGAATTAGAATCTTAGAATAACATTTAATGCTTTAATTATTTTAAAGCTTAAAAGGGATTTTCCATTTCCACCTGGAAGTGGAAACATCATGCCAAAGAATAACAAATGGTTTGTCAAAAAAAGCTAAATAGTAGAAAGGGGCCTCTTATTATTGCAAATCTGTTTAAAAGACCAACCAAAAATAGACCAGTTCTTATTCATGTAGTAAAAAGCAAAAGGTGGGCTGAAATGAAAGAGGTCAAAGGCAAATAAAGATAAAAGTTAATTAGCCTCACTCACATGGTCTTTTGTGTGAGAGGAAAAAGGTCTGCAAAGCATGTTGTTGTTCTCTGTTCAGTCCTCAGTGTAAGTGCTTTTCAGTCAAGCTCCAAAGGCAACGAATAAAGAATAATTAGAGGCAGCATTCAGTCTGCACTTAGAGCATGTTGATGGGAGGGGAGAGACGGCACTCACAGCACACTAAAGAAATCTACAGGTGTGGGCTCAAAACACTTAACAGCTTCAGAGGAGTTACGGCTTTTAAATGCAATGCAAGACAACTGTAAATAAACACTACGCTCTACCACAACACTATAAGTAACAAAGTATTCCTGGTAATAAGACGGGACAAGCAAATGCAAAAAAAATGGGCCACCAATTTTCACTTCCAACAGTGGCCACATATGATTATGCAACTTAGTACCATTTAAATAAAAACACAATGGCTTACTTTGCTCTCTGCAGAAATCCTCCTCTGTCATGGTACTTGGCATCAGTAGCTCCCCAACTGCAGGCTGGATAGACACATTGAACTGGTCTGTCTTGGTGCTGGGAAGTGTAAAAAATAGCAACAATGCAAAATATTATTGTCAAGTAGTAGTTTCTTGCTCCATTTAGGTCACCTGACACACTACAACAAAATACGTGTTGTTTTACCTGTCTTCAAGTTTAAAAGTTGACTACCTGATGGCTGTGAAAGTCACTCTGCTTTGGTATGTTTGTAATTCTGGTATAAATATTCAGAGCACAGATGCTCTGGGAAAGAGACTAAGAGGACACCGGAAGGCCTCGGTCCTGGCCTGTAACTCACCAGGTTTCCCAAATGGATTACATTATCAATAAAGATATATACCATTTAAACAACATTTTATAACATTTAATACATGAATAAGCTTTCCAAACATATAACCAAAAAACACAAAGTATATAAGTAATTATTTGCTTTAAGAAGACTAGTCATGATAGTTTTTTTTTTTTTTTTTTTTTTACAGTGTAGAAGTTTAAAAAAGCAAAGCACTAATCTGTTATTAACACTACACAATATCACTATGTAATAAAAACGTTGTGTGTATCAAAATGTTATATTATAGATTCTCAACCCTAATTTGACCAATTTGCATGCTCTAAACTTGATTTTCTGAGTATTGATCTGATCTAAGCAGTGGTTCTAATTGCTTACAACAAGTTGATTTGTGCTCAGGCTCATTACAGTCTGGAGGATTCACTGTTATCCCAGTGAACCAAGATCAATTTTGATCCAAGTCAGAGAAACAAAACCAGATAAAATGAACTGATGTGACATAAAAATTGAACAAAATTAGTAAATAAATTACTGACAATGAAAGTGAAAATTTAAAAAAGATTTGTCCTTACTGGAAATTAAGGAATGCATGTTAACTTGTCTTACCACAACTGGAAGTTGGCTGCTTGTGTAGAGTCACTGAAGTCAATACCCATAGAAACTGTCACAGAGGCCCCAGCCTCCAGCTGCTCTGAGAGAGAAAAGAAAGAAAAGAGGAAGAATGAGTGACAAGGGCAGTGTGTGCAGAGGAAGGGTGGTGGGATGCAACAGAGTGGAACAGACAAGCATCCAGACCACTTGTGTTTTCTACTTCACAAAGCAAGGCCACCATTTGTGAGAAATCTATCCTTCAATCCCATGTCCTGCAGACACGTGGAAAAAACACATGAAGGACTAGCATATAAGATCAGCTTGTCAAAGAGTGCATCAAGCAGCAAGAGAGTGGACACACCCGCACAAAATGAGGACAAAACAGAGTTAGCAAAAGTCAGAGAGCTGCAGCCTGGATAGATGGCTGGAGAACAGGAATGAGCATAAACAGATTAGATTTTTGACTGGAGAGTCAAACTGATGCTCGAAATGAAAATATTTCCAGCCTTTATGGCTCCTTGTTTAGTAAATAATCACCTTTTTTATACAGCTAATCCATCATTCCTTACATAGTGAATAAAGAACAGAATTAACTAAAGCAGCTTCAAGATCTATTTGACCCCAAAAATGTAGGTTTTCCTAACTGATATTTTTGTCCAAAATTTCAATGGAGCCCTCTTTTTATATTGCTGCATATTGCAATTTTTGCATTACATAGAAACAATAC